AATCGCTGACCCTTTGAGTTTTTGAGAGACTCATCCGAAAGAGTCAATTCTTTGCGAGTCGAGCACATTAGCTATCTCTCTGTCCATCTCTCTATCTGCTTATCTCTCTACATATCTGGCAATACCTATGCAACATATAACTAAACTTAAGCTTCGATAACCTGCTTACATGCTGCTCTGTCCGCATTAAATGTTATCACAACAACATTCTGTTAGTCTTTCAGAGTAGCTAAGCTTGCAAACTCCTCTGCCTACCCATATTCTCGCACTCATACAGCTGCAGCTTATGGAGAAACTTTCGGATCAGCATTGAGTTGCATCAGCTTGAAGGTCAAGTTAAATTAGGGCTTTATTTATGCACAAACAAAGTTTTGAGCGCCCAGAGTCAGAGATTTGTAAATAGCTGCAGTAAGTGTGTGCATGTGTGTGTGCATGTGTGTGTGTGTGTGTGCATGTTTTGTTTGCCATGAATTGCATTAAAGAGAAGTAAAAGAGAGCGCTGCAAAATAATTTAATTCTTGTCAAAGTCTTTATTCGATTTGCCTTTTGTTTTAATTACTTCGCTTTGTCTTTTTAAATGAATCATCTTTCTCTTCTCTTGAGGAGATTCTTTTTATTTCCCTTGGCCTGCCGGCTTCTGCTGTATATCTAGGTAGAGCGCTGCACAGCGTCCAGGGTATTTGCTAGTCGAGCGCTCTCACATGAGGCATTACATTTGAGCCATACTCAAGTTGTTCAACTTGATTGAGAGCCTCTATACAAATCATTTGCACCCACACACCCTCCCCCCTCTCATACCCACATATCTATTTGTAATGCTCCCCGTGCCGTGAAATGGCTCGACTTCAGGTTATGAAAAACTGATTCAATTGATACAATTGAGCTGTTGCAGCTGAGCTGCCTTTGCATAATACTGGGCATGGCTACAAGCACATAATATGATCACACACTCGACTTCAATGGAAGCCAAGGAGCAGACTCAGCCCGTTCGGCTGTTTGATGTGACATATCCCATGGACATTTGTGAATCGCTTTTCAATTGAATTGCACGAGTGGATTCGTTGGTTAACATGAATGCTTTATCTGCTCAACCGTTCGTTTATTATTTCGTATATTCATGTACATTTTTGTTTCTCCTTTGTTTCTTGTTTTTTGTCGAATGAGTTCAGCTTCACACGCGCAGGTAATGCATGCAGTGGTATTCAGAGGTGGGCTCGTTGGGTTGCCACGCTACGAATTGCACGGTTTGCTGCACGCTTCAAACTGTGATTAATTTCCGGGTGGTTGGCGATAAAACTGCTTTGGTTCATCAATATCTGGCTGCGACTTGCCGTCGTCCGTCTGCTGCTGCTCCTGCTGCTGCTCCTGCTGCTGTTAGCCCCTTCTGCTTGCTGCGTGTGCGCATCCAAATAAAACCAATCATTTTCTGCAAAATGTCAAATACTGCGAATTTCAGACAACAATCCCATTCCATTTGCAGTTTGCCTTCGTTTATCCCCCCCCTTATGCTTTTCATATTGTTTTTTCGGCCCGTACAAAGTTGCATTTGGGTCAATGATGTTGTGCCTTTTGTTTTGGAATCTCTCTGTGTGTGTGTGTGTTTTTTTTATGCGCAATATTGTTGCGCAAAAAATATTGCATATTGTATACACTTGTAAATAAATAAATCAATAGGGTGACCCAGCTAGCCACGCCGCCTCTGGGGGGCGACTAGAAGCCTCATCATTGTCTCGATATGGATATATTTGACCATATTTGTTAGCCGCACATATCCTGGCCCGGCCATAATGCACTTGCATTTGCATTTCCACAGCCAACTCGACATATTTGTGATATGTCCGAAAACGTTTCCACTCGAGCGTCTTTTGGGCCTGCTCCCCCACAATGTCCCGACTGTTGTCATAACTTTCCGTATGGGCCGAGTGCGTCAAGTGCTGGGCGTTCGCCTCAGTGTGCCCCGGTGCCTAATGTCTGTTATTGATTTGGCTCTCGATGGCCAGATTGATTTTATTTATTGAGACTCGTTCGAGGAGCGGGCGCTGCATAAATAGAAATTCTCAACAGCCAGCTCAGGCCACAAAGCGTCTTTGTGGGCGCATTTGAAGTGCACATTAGAATGGCCGCTGCACGGGAGACTCCAATGGCATCGCCTGTCATCAATCTCTGTCCGTGACAGCCGGAGACATGAGCATGGGTAAGTATTCGCCTTCGCTTACATTCGCCTCGCATCGGCGCAGGCCTTCAGCATTTCCAACTGTTGCGCGCAAATTAGCCAAGCTGAATCTTCAAAAAGTCATCAAGCAGCTCCACAAATATAATATATATATATATGTATAGTTATTTTTAATTTATTTATATATTAGCCTGGAGTAAATACAACATTTAAATATTCACAATCGCTAGATAAGCTCTTTAGCCACCAAATGCTCACCGAGTGGCACATATAGCGACCTTATCGCGTTTGTGGCATCAATTTCGACACTCGCGCCGTTTGTGCATAAATCGTGAATGCAAAAACTTTAAACAATAACAGAATAGCATTTAAAATAACACATAAATGGCGAAATGCATAAATAAATGTCGCATCGGGTGTGTGTGTGTGTGTGGGGGGGGGTTTGCATAGATTATCTGTGGCCCGAACCTTGAACGAACCAACATTTACCTAAGCCATCGAATCTGACAGCTAGATAAATAAATCTATTAAAATGCAACCGGAATTGCGAAATCCATTCGATTGGCTTTCATTTTCGCATCGATTCCAATTTCTATGTCGCATAAATGCACAAAAATATTAAACATTTTTATTGGATTTAAATTTAACCAGAGGCCAGGCAATATATATTGAATTATACCACGCCATGTTCATACCCAAATGGGTACAAATACTCATTAGTTGCTCCACTTTGAAATAAACTTTGTATTTGCATTTATCTATCATATCGATTAGGTATATTGCAGAGTGTCCCGCTCTACACAGTTATTATAGATTTACTATATTTTACATATTACACAGATATTTTTACCATCATATTGGATAGTTATCGAAAGGGGTAGATCATCTATACGTTAATCGATTGCCATCGATAACTGAAAAGCTAATTGCTTTCAATGGAATTTTTCTAGTTGAGTTAATAATCTCGATTAAATACTTGATGACGATAAAAAACAGTCGAGTTTCGATAAATTGTACTCCCATAAATTGAAAATCGCTCGTTCTCGATAATTTAAAATTCTGCGTAAATTCAAAAAAAAAGATTCCCTTGCTATTTTCAACTATCGAGACTCAACTGTATTCAATGTCTTCGATAACTATCGCTAGCTACAATAGTAAATCCCAAATTTGTACTTATTTCCTAGCTAACAATTTTGACTAATATGTATAGGTTAATTAGCTATTGATTATATCATTTCATTAATCCATACTGTCTAGTTTACACTCTCGAATAAACATAGCTGCCATAGTCATTCTCTAAAATTGCGTCAAAAGTGTAGTCAACATATTTGATTAGGTATTAGAGGCCAAATTTGATCTGCTGGCTGCCAATCGATATACCAACTGGCACAATATATTGTATAATCACAAGCGGAATATTTGAGAGTGGATGCTTTCGACTCGCCGCATTCAGTTCAGTGGGAATTGCATAAAATGGCTGACCAGTGTTGTGGGATACTTTGACATTTTGGCGCATGTTGAATCAAGTGAAAACCCAATTACATGTGCACCCCAGCTGGACGGCTGGCTGGCCCGCCCAGCCGAGCCCAACGTGCGTCGCCAACATTTACCTTCGCCTACAGCTGTTTAAAATGTTTCCGATTATTACAGTTGCAGTTATCCGGGTGTGCGCCTGTGTGTGTGTGTGTGTGTGTGTGTGTGTGTGTGAGTGAGCTGTAGCCTAACGAGAGTATCTAACGACAGTCAGCAATTGCTAATGTGTGTGTGTCACTGTGTGAATATTCAAGGTGAGTGAGTATTATGGAGCGAGAGGGTGCCCAAAAGGGTTGCTCGCGCGTTGGGCGTTGTTTGATGTGCACGCAAATTATTACTTAAGCGGCTTAAACTTGTTGAAGCGCTGCCAGTGTGGGTTATTCGCTGCGGTTTTGCTTAAATTAGGTTTGAGTCGAGTTTGGTCCGCCTTGTGGGTGCGAAACGATAAAGACATCACATTCGAGCCACACACAAACACACACAGACGCCCGCGTCTATAAAGGTGCGTATTTGGTTGATGAGAATACGTGTAAACTGAATTTGTAAACGTGCGCACATTTCCTTATCTCCGCGCTGGCAAGTATGCATATAAGTTGTCATTAATGGCTGAACTTTAGCTCCAAGTTAATGCAGCTCTGGCTGCGAGGCAGGTTAGGGGGTATAAGAGACTGGAGTAGCTAAGAGGGTGTGATTTAGAGGGCACAGGAATATGCCCAAGTATCGATAGGCTTATAGCTAGTCATCGATAGTTGACCATAGTGCCATCGCTAGCAGAGAAGGAAGAGCAAGAGGCTTAGAGAGAAAATACTGAAATATATCCACCCACAGCACCGTCATAGATATTAATCATATTATTATTCCAGCTACAGTTCGGAAAGAAACGCATGCAAACACAATTAGCGAATGTCACATTGTGCGCTGGTTTGTTGGCATTGGCCACAAACGCAGATTGCGTATACGCCGCGTGGGCCGCCCACGACTCGACTATGCCCCCAGTTGGGTGTGAAGCGATTTGCATGAGGCGCCAATCGGAGCATAAAAGGGAATTTGAATCGTGCACTGGAGTATGTGATTTTAATGACGTGCCGAATTCCTCGAATGAATCGAGTTGGCTCTGCCTTACCGAATAATATCTGCCATATGCACAGCACAGCACAAAGTAGTCTACACACACACACACATATGTATATATATAAATATATATATGTATATATATATATATCACACGGAAAAATATGTATATATATATATATATATATAAGTATATATATATATATATATATAGAGCTACATTTTCCGTGTGATGTTTTTTGTGTAGAAATTCGTGTTTCGATAATGCCCACTGATCAGATGCCCAATTTGTGCGGCCAGCAGCTGAGCGGCTGGACACGCCATCAGGTGTGCCGCACCGACACTGTGGCCCACCTGGCCCTCAAGTACGGCACGACAACGGGTCGAATCTGTCGGGCCAATCGCATGTACTGGCCGGACATCCTGCAGACGCGCTGCTACATCTGGGTGCCGTCAATGGACAAACAGTACGACCCGGCGAGGGACATCAGGGTCCAGGCGCTCAGTGAGTCCGGCAGACGGGCCACGGGCTTAGTTACCCGGCCCAACTACAACAGACTCTCCAAGATACCGCCCCACTACTATCGCCAGAGTGCGCCCAATACGGATGACTTTGCCAGCGACTGCGATCCACTGCTGATCACCATGCGCTGCATGTGAGGCGTGCACAATCGGGCGACTGCATCTTGGGAGGCGACACAATTTAATTAGCGACCACAACTGCAGCTGCTCCCTGCTGCACAGCATCCTGTCTGGGTTGCCTCTGCCTCTGCCGCTGCCGCCGCTCCCGTCACTGCTGCTGCTGCTGCTGCTGCCAGTCAACGAGCTAGCAAGAGCACACGGCACACGGCGCCTTATCAGCCAAGCGAAATTGTGGGCGGAATTTCAATTATCGTTACATTATGCTCTCAGCTCGGCGTCTCGACGAATACGATGTGAGTTTCGGCGGGCCACCGCACAAAGCAGCGCTCCTCTGATGGCACATACTCTAGCAGTGGAGCATAAACTCTTTAGAGCATCCAAATTTGCTGTTTAATTTAGAGAAATATATCTGATTGTGTTCTGTGCAACAGTCATTGGAGTATTACTTGTATAGAGGCAGACATGTGCCTCAGTTGGTTCGTTATGAGTGCCCTGTGTGGAGAGTGAGATTGGATGATGATTAGTAATCGGGGTATATGAGTTGCAGATCTCAGAGTTGTAGCTCTGCAGGGCTCAATATTGAGCAGCTTTGCGAAGTGCAGATATAGATGCAGATATACTTTCTCTCTCTCTCTCTCTCTTTGTCGTTCTCATAAGAGGATATAAATTGCGCTCAGTAGTCTAATATTGTCTAATACTGTCATAATAGTCTAATATTGTCATAATACATAAATATAAATAATAATAATAATAATAATAATAATACTGATAAATTAATAATATGAATAGTAATAAATGCAATGCAATAGTAATAATCATAATCAAAAATGGTTTTATATAAATTAATTAGATGTTAGAGCTATGAATTATAATATTAAAACTAACTTAAAGTTGAGCACTGGACACTGGAGCTGATATAATAAATGAATCAATAAATAAATAAATACAATAAATACAATACAAATAAATAAATACAAATAAATACAATAAATGAATGAATAATTAAATAGCAAAAAAATTATAATATAAATAAATAAATACATAAATGAATAAATAATTAAATAAATAAATCAATAAATAAATATATAAATAAATAAATAATAATAATAAATGAATAAATAGATAAAAAATCAATAAATTAATAAGCAAATAAATAAATAATTAAATTAAAAAAATATAAAAAAAATAAATAAATAAATAAAAATAAAAAATAAATAACAACCATTTGAATTTTTTATACAGTCTATTTATTGCTATAATTTTCATTGGATTTATTTTATTTACCAATTATATGGTATATAATTTATAAATATATATGTATTTAATTATTTTTATCTTTATACTACACAGATATTAGCTTGAGATAAACTACACTGTGTCCCTCACATATACATATACATGTATACATCTACATATATGTATATCTATATCAGTGCCTGCAGTACGCAGCCAAGCAATGCAAAGCACAGCCTCCTTAGACACAGCTGCACATCTATTACAACTGCAATACATTCCATTTATATTCATCTTTATATATTCGCCCAATATACTCAAATTCCATAAACTTTGCAGAGTAATTGAAGTTCGGCGAGGACAGCGAGCGAACTGCTTCGTTTCACATTAAGCAAATGTCTGGGAATTTTTGTCGCAGAGCGGAAATAAAGAAGAAATGCGAAGGCAGAGCCATTGACAGTCCCTGGGGATCCTTGGAGGACCGCCCACTGCTTGTTATCCCTACTCTCAGTGTATACCCTCTCTCTCTCTCTCTCTCTCTCTCTCTCGCTCGTACTCTCTCTTTGTGTGTGTCTGCACCGCCCGGCGCGCTGATTAGAAACCCCAGAGCGTTGCCAGCTGTCGACGCGCTACAAAATTGGCTTTTAATTGTTGCAGAAGTGAATTTGCCACAAACAGGATGCAATTAAGACATTCAAATTCACGATTCGAGTGCGCGCTGCTGCTGCACGCGACATCGAGTGGCAGACACAGACATAGACACAGGAACTCGTGCTCAGGTGCCAGCGCGCTATCGAGCGCTCTCCGGGCACGTGCAATAGCAGAGATAAGCGTAGAGCCGTGGCCAGTGGCCAGTGGCGACCCCGACACACATTCAAAGTGGAACATTAACTAATCTGTGTGTGGCACTTGGGCATAACGACGTTGGCGCTGGGGCAAGCAGTCGTGCCACTTTTCCAATCCCGTCGCCAGCTTCGAAAACGCAAAACGAAAAACGCAAAAGAGGCAAAACGAAAATAATAAAAGGGGCGTCGGCAAAAAGGCCAACGCCGAGAAATATGCGTACGTGCTCGTGTGATAAATTCACATTTTCCGGCTGGCAGCAGCAGCAGCAGGAGTAGGAGCAGGAGCAGGAGCAGGACAATCGCTGGCATTGATAGACACCGAAGCCGATGGACGGCCGCATTAGACGTGGCGGGGCAGGTGGCAGCGCCGTGAAACGTAGCGGAACGCCGGTGTCAAAAAGGAAGTGCCAAAAAAACGAAAGAGAATACGGAATATGCCAGGCAAAACAAAAAAAAAGTATAAATAAAAAAGTGTGCGTGCGTGTGTGGGAGAGGCGCAGACAGCGTGGAGCAACGACGCTGAGCATCAGGCGGACGACGGCCATGGAATGGCCACATTTTGTGCCTTTTTGACAGACACAACTTTGGAATTGCTCTGATTATGCCAGGGACTAGGGGGGGGGCGAAGCGACGGAGCCGACGGAGCCGACGGCATAGACGGACTCCACGGACTCAACGGACTCGACGGACTCGACTCAATGGCATGTTGACAATGATAACGAAGTTGGCCCTGACTGCGCTTACCATTCGGATGCCGATAGAGGGAAGGAGAGAAAGTGAAATTGAGAGAGTGCGAGAGAGACGAAAATAGAAACAGACTGCGGAAAATATCAAATGTCGCATGCCGGCATTAATATTTCATGAGAAATCATAGTTTGGTGATGCGTATAATTCAAAGAATTGCAATCTGAATTAATTTCAAATACTCCGACCAGCCAACCGCTCAGGTATTTCGCATCGATTCTGACAATCAGCCTCGGTAACTTGTTGCCACAGAGCCACGTTGGCATTGTTTGGCTTGAATTTTCAAGCTCGAATCTCCTATGTCTATCTATGCTTCAATTGGGCTGTGGGGGGTGAGCAACATATGGATGTTGCATAGATGAGGCAACAAAGTTTTCAACATTTCTGCATCATAAAACTTTACGCCGCAAAGGGCATCAAAATGAATGCGTATCGATTTATGATGCATGAGCTGTTACTGCTACTGTTAGTGCTACTGTTACTGCTACTGTTACTGCTACTGTTACTGCTACTGTTACTGCTACTGTCACTGCTACTGTTACTGCTACTGTTACTGCTACTGTCACTGCTACTGCTACTGCTACTGCTACTGTTACTGTCACTGTTACTGCTACTGCTACTGTTACTGCTGTTGCCTCGCCGATCGATGGCCACAAAGTGCATTTGCTGCGTGCGGCATGTGGCATGTGGCATGTGGATTCGATATTGTGGAGTCATAAGCCAAGCTGCCGCTGTAACTGCCAAAAGTTTTGCAAGTGAAACTCATTTATTTGTTTTCCGCCGTGACAGTTGAACCATGTAATTATACACAGACAGGCGCTGCCCTCACTGCGCTGTCGCCCCCTCTGCCTACCCCCCTCCCCCTTCCCCCTCGTTTTATGTCTTATGTGGCAGCATTTGGATGGGAACGGCCCCTCACCCGAGAGACTTATGAAATATGACAGTTTTGCACACAACGCACAACTTTTGGACCGCCTTTCAAATAGAAATTATTAGAAAGTTTCGAGCGAAAGCGAAAACCGGAGGCTAACGGCGAACTGCAGCGCGCTCTCTTCCCATGAGATTAGTGCAATTCGGGACACAAAGCGACCCGTGGCAGGAGACAGTGAGCGAGAGCCAGAGAAAGAGAGCGACCGAAAGATATATGGATAGATAGAAAGATATATAGATTGTAGCATGGCTGAATTCATATTGAACATTTCAAGGTTTTATGTCAGCCTTTTGATTTATGAAGGTTGGCAAGCTGCCACACAGCCAACTTTGCGCAGCAGCACAGCAGCCGAACGGAGAGACAGCTGGACGGAAGGAATAAGATGTGAAAATATTAGGAATTAGCAGCTAAGTAATGTGCGCTAAAAGTGACCCACTTGAGGCATTTGTTAGATGGCTGCAAGCAATCGAAGAGACTCGTGAATTTGTATATGAATTATTGGAGTTACGGTTAATGTTGTGTAGGGGTTTTGATAGGATTATGGCAGGTTCGATATTTGTTTAATATATGTATTTATATAAATTATATATATATTATTATATTATATATATGGGTTGTGTTATAAGAGACTACCTCCTATGTGTAAATTTAGGGAATTCAGATTCAGTGATCACAAGAGTGAGAAGAGATGAGTTGTTATGAGACGCTTTTAATCTTAAGCGGCCTAACCTAAAAAAATTCTAATAGCATAGCCTAAATAACTTATAAAATAATTTCTTCCATCTCTCTTTGTCCTTCACTCTCTATCTCTCTCTGTCGCTCTCTCTGTCTCTCTCTCTCACTCTCCCAAGAAGCCCCCTAAAAACTTCCATATCCATCTCTTTCACTCCCTCCCTCTTATCTAAGAAACCTCTGTTAAGTCTTGATCACTTATGATATAATTTCTTCCATATATCTCTCTCCTGGGCACAATTTCTCTCTCACTTCCACTCTTTCCCTCTCTCCCCTAGGAAACCACTGCTAAAACCTTAATCACTTTTAATATGATGTCTTCCATATTCCTCTCTTTCAGTCCTCTTCAGCATCAGTAATGTTCGTCGATCTCTCGCTTGTCTCGATCAATGCTATCAATTGCTTTCACAGCTCTACTTGCAGGTCCACTCGACAGTTGGACAACAAGATGCAACAAATTGAGTGCAATAAATGAAAGTATAGCAACAATTTGTCTCGCACTTCAGGTATGTAATACTCAACTGAAGCTGGAGTTAATATTCCTGCGCATCTTTAATAATTCATTCATACTTCTCGCTGCCGGCTGACGGCTGTCTTCATTTCAGCATTTCATGCAGCACACTTGGCTGGGCAGCAATTGCGCAAATGTTTCTTAACTTAATTGATACGCCGGGACGCCGGGTGGTGTGGCACCACAGCCACCGCACCACCGACCGCCAACACTAGTGCAATGGTTTGTGATGCATTGGCAGTGGCAATATTACTTATTTATAGCAACTCGAGTTGCCACTGCTGTTGCTGCTGCTGCTGCTGCTACTGCTCCTGCTGCTCCTGCTGCATGTAAGTAATTATAAATTGAATTAAAAGACGCGCAACTCAAGCGCCTTCTGCTGTTGCTTGGTCTTAATTAAAATTTCATTATGTGCCCACATATATGTATATATATATACATATGTGTCTATATACATATATGCCTCTCTGTATATAAATGTGTCTATGTGCATTGTCGCCTGCTTTTGGCAACTGTGTTTAAAATGCTGTAAAAATATTTGACAAGCAGCTTTACGAGCGAGCCGTTAAAATATTTTATCCCTAGTCGACTAGGCGACTGGGCGACTGGGCGACTGTGTCCCTCCCCCTGCCATGCTGGCAGTCTTATCTATTAACTGCTCGAGCAGCTAAAACTAATGCATGCATAGTGTATGCATACTTGCAGCGCCCACTGTGGTACGGACATTATGTGTGTTCGCATTCGAATGCATTTGCTGCTCGCAAACAAAACAAAGGACCAGAAAGTACTTACTAAATGCATCAAATCTAAAAAAGCAACCAAATATGCAGAGCTCAGCGGAGTATGCAAGACAAGCAGATACCCTGGGAAGTGGTAAGACAAATCTTTGAAGAGGTATGACAAATCGGAATTTATTTCATATTTTAGCTAAAGCAAATGTAATATAATATGAAAGAATGTCGTTGGCATTGAGTATGTAAATAAATATAGTTTTTTGTTTATTTAAAGTAATCTCATTCAATTCCCTTTCTGTTTCCTCTTGGCAACATACTTTGTAGAGGCTTTTGACGAAAGTCAACTCATCACAGATGACAAATTTTTCTCTGAGAGCATTCTTCAAGGCGTTGCAAATGGCCTTAGTGAATTTGGCCACCCTCTTTGCACAGGGTATGACAAAACAAAAACAAAACAGCAACAACAAAATGCAAACGCAACTTGTCGACATGAATTGTTGTTGTCATTTCACATGTTCGTTGTTGTTGCTGTTGCTGTAGCTGAACTTTATTGTTCCGCTATGAGAGTGTGTGTGTTTGTTTGCATTTGTTGTTGTATTTGGCAATGCAACGCTGCATAGCTGAGCAGAGCTGAGCAAAGCATAGCATAGCATAGTTTTTAGCGCAAATCAAAATGATTGATGATGATGGCCATCATGCAGCAAAGCTCTAGTTCAGGCTTTAGCAGCAGCAGCAGCAGCAGTAACAGTAGCTCAACTTCACACACACACACACACACACTTACACAGAGAGAGTGAGACAGCCAGCCAGACAAAGAACAACAAACACTTGACAGTTATGGCTGCTGATATACAGCAAATAAACTAAATAAATCCTTTTTTGTGTAATGCCATTTTTGTGCCACTTTGTTTTAAAGGCATGCCACATGAGCACACCCGCCTAAATTGTCCCTCTGTGCCTGTGTGTGTATGTGTGTGTGACATATATGAGCTATGAGTTACGGCTAGCTGCGTGCTGCCATTGCCATTCTTTTCAATTGCAAATTGACGCCGCCCAAAAGTATGCAACACTTCATTGCACTTTGCCTTTACTTCAACTGCACACTCACACACACACACACACACATGCACTCACGTTGTCATTGTCACTTCATTAATGCTCTCCGCACACACGCACAAATTAGCCAAAACGTTTACGTTTATGCGCAATGGCCATGCTGAAAGCCTGGCTGCCAAATGTCCTTCGGCTAGACATAACTGTTTGCTGTTACTGCTGTTGTTGCTGTTGTTGCTGTTGCTGCAGTTGCTTTTATGGCTGCGCTTATTGTTGTCCCACCGCCTCATTAGCCAGCCAGAGTCTGTCGTTGCTGCTGCGGCTTTCGCTGCGCTCTACCTACACTCAATACACAAGCTCAACTCCTAAGCAGCTGCAATGCAAACACACACACACACACACACACACACACACACGTATACACTCACAATTACATTCTAAGCCAACAGCAACAACATCTGGTCAACTGCAGACATTGTGACAGCCTCGTCTGTTGCTGCTGTCCAACTGAGCTTAGCTCCGACCGACTCTGGCGTTTCTTGGACATCTCCATTTCTTGCCGGAATCCAGTTTGGCCAGCTCGCCGCCTCCTCATTGACGGCTCGCTCAGTTGGCTGGCCAGATCAAATCGCTGACGGCCTGCAGCTAAATGCTAAATGCTGTGTGCAATGCCTATGGAAGCGCCGGTCAGATATCGAGCCAAATGCGGACTAATTGGAACTCAATGTGAAACTGACTGTCAAACTGACTGTCAAAGTGCATGTTGAATTCATTATGTTTCCTTAAGAATTTTAGTAAAAATATTTCTTAGTTATTTATTTATTTATTTTTATTTGCATTTTTATATATTTTTTCTTATTTAATTTTTAAATTTATATTTTATTTATTCATATTAAGACCGCGTTGTCATGTATACCATTGAAGCCAATCAAATTTAGAAGGCTTTAGAATATTTTCAAATACGACTATATTATGATGGATGCCAGAATTATGAAGAATTTATTAATTAATCATAGCAGAAAAATATTTGTAAGCAGAAAGATGTAAATATGAATATTAATTATAAATATACATAATTTTCAAATAAAAATGTTAGATTTAAATTTTAATGTACAAAATTCATTTAATATATAGAATTAATAAATTTTTTTATTCATACATATTTATACGATAGCGAAATTTAATCAAGTAAAAATCATATTTAATTTATATTAAGTTTGGAGATTCTCTTTTCATAAACTAGATACATCTTATCACTCACTCGCTCATTAGCTTAATTCCGGCGAAAACTCTTTGGGGCTTTTCCTCAGTTGCCATAGTTTTCGAAGCAAGTCGGATCTGCGGCAATATTTAAATTTGATTGCAATTAACTGTGCTCCGGCAGCGCCCACACATGGTGGCTCATATAGCAAGGCTCACATTACATGCCCGGCCATTTGTGGCGACGAGCATATAGCCAATGCCACGCCCACTCGCACACACGCCCAACTACAGCGCATTTGGTGTGCGTGCGACGAGCCCTCAAATTCCTTTGGGGCTTTGCCCGAGTGCAATGTCTGTCAACACTAATTGTTGGCTGCTGTCGCTGCTGTCTTTGGCTACAATAATGTTCTGTGTACGTGGCTCGAGTGTGTTTGTGTTTGTGTTGGCCCAGCTAAAACACACACGCACACACGCACGCAGATGTGGAGTAGACGCAATCAGAAGGCTCACATCAGCAATGGCAACACTTCTTCTTCTTCATCTTCATCTTCTTCATCAGCCTGTAGCTGTTATTGTCATTAGCTTTGACATGTGCCCTCGTTCCGAAGAAGTTGGCCAACTGAAACACTGGGCCGCGGCCGTTGGCTTTCGCAGCTCTCATCTCATCTAAGCTTTCGGGGTGCGAACATGGCACATACAAACACGAATACATATGTTTAATTAAATTGGGTCAAGGCAGTTAACTCACTTGTCTTTGGATTATGTTTGCATCTCACCTAATCTCAGTCTTAGCTCCAGCTCCAGCTACATCTGAACATAATATATGTATACACACACACACACAGAGAGTGAGTGAGACCCACGTTATCTGCTGTCCAGTGCGAACCCTCCATTCATTCCATTCATAGCCAAGTTCGCTGCCCTCGGCCGGCCTCAACTTTGGCGCTAACTTTAAGTTCAAGCTAAAGTTCACTTTCTTTTGTAAATATAACAAATTGCTCTCGAGTCGCGTACGCGCCACATAAAATCAAATTATTATCTGCAGTTCGGGGCGACCGCAAAATATTGTCGCTTGCGAGTTTATTAAAACTTTGCACAGCGCAAAAAAAAAAAAAAAAAAAAAAAAACAAAATGTGAAAAGAAGAAGCAAAAACAACATCAGCGCTAACTAGCTAACTAAGTGCCCTGTGTGTCTCGGTCTGTGTCTCGGGCCAGACTTTGATAGTTGGCTAAAAACTTTTGACCTGTTGCCGGAGCCAAACATACTCGGGGATACTGGGACTCGACCCAGCTCGACCCGAATCGACTCGCCTCGACTCGACGCGACTCGACTTCAGCAGTCCTTGGATGGGCATTCCTTAAGTTTGCCAGCAAATAAGCTTAATTGATTAATTAATTGGAGTGCGCCGCCTGCCAAGTCGAAGTGGATAAGGCCAATTATGAATGGGAGCAAATAGTCAAAGCATTATACTGTTATACTCTAGTAATGGCCGAACTGTTATGCGAAAGTCAAACAGTTAATACAAGTTTCTAACAGTTTGATGACAATTATGAAATATAGTGCCAATGAAAACTGTCATACAAATGTGTTATACAAAACTTGTTAGACAAACTTTGAGATACTGTTATACTTATTGGAAGAAAGTGTTTAGCATAATACTATAATGCTGTTATACTGGCTGTTATACACAGTCGCTATGAGAATTCTTTTTGTCGTGCAAAACTGTTAATAATCACTGAAAAATATTGTCAATGAAAACTGTCATACAAATCTGTTATACAAAACGGTAAGACAAATCATGACAAACTGTTATACTTATTGGAGAAATAATTATAGCACCATACAATTATTTTGTTATACTGGCCAAACTGTTATACACAGTCGTGAAGCCATATTGCTATACGAAATTGTTAAGTATCACTATTATACAAAAGTTTTGTTCATAAGTAATTTTCTACTTTTGTTATACTCATCTATCTGCCTTATTGGAGCACATTATTATGCTGTTATACAACTTATCTACTTACTTATTTAGAAGTTCGTTCCTGCGCATCCAATATTAACGATCGTTGGGCCTTTCTGTAAGCCCCTTTGTAATCTGTTCTACTAAAACTATTATACGCACTGATATCGTGCATTGTTATTTACTAATACAAGGAAGCAATATCAGCATTGAATTGGCTTACAAATTGTCAAGCAGCTGTTCTATTGTTATCAAATCTGTTCTATTGAGCTGCTGGCCTGCTCGGACATTCTGCCCCCAAACGTGCATAAGGGCAGGCTCAAACACATACATATATATGTACATATTTCTATATATATACTTTCTGTATTGGCCAAGTTATCCTAATCACTCACTCACTCACTCACTCACTCTCACTCTCTCTCTCTCTCTCGCACTGCATGTCCTTTTAATTTAGACGCAACCTAAGCTGCTTTTGCATCCGTTTTTGGTTCAATCTCCGTGCCTTGCCGTGCCGTGCGGTCGTCCGTTGCTGGCCAACAAAATCTTGAAGCCTGAATGCAAAGGAAAACTTGCCTAATCCAATGAAAACAAGCAGCTCAGCTGCTATTGACAAGCAGCAAGTGCTAGGCAACCGATCCGAATGCGCTCCAAACGTGCTAAAGTGATATTCGAAATAATAAATAAATACCGATTTGTTTTCTCTACTGCTGCTTGTTAGTTAGTTTTTGTTTTTTTCTCTTCTCTTCTATTTTTTTTTAATGTTTCCATCTGTGTAAGTTGTCAGTCCTTAAAGATTTCCATTCTGTTTTATTTTTGATTCATTTTCCATTTACATATCTATGTGAGTGTCAGTGTCTCTCTCTCTCTCTCTCTCTCTCTCTCTCTCTCTCTCTCTGTGTGCGTGTGCATGTCCAGCCCTGGAGGCATCTGTGCGCCGCACCTGTCAAATGCTTGGAGCTCATTTGTTGCTGGGACTTGGGGCTTGTGGCATGGCCAAATCCTTTGGACTTTGGGATAAGGTTTCTGCCAGAAAATAGTCTGACATGCATTTAAATTTGTGGTCGTCTTTGCCTGCATGCTTGACAACATTTTGCCGTCTGCAATTTACAGTTAAATTTTATGCATAATTCCCGTTATGACACTTGCGGTGCACACAATCGCATTCGCATGCAGCTACAGTTCTGCATGTCCGTATGCATGCAGATACATGCGGTTGCAGCAAAACATCCAAAGATACAGATGCAGCTACACGAAACATTCTAGGAATTTGCCCAGAGCCAAGCGGTCGGGGAGTCGAACAGTCGGGGAGTCGAACGCTCGGCTGCTTGAGTAGTTGAGCGGCATACTAATTTATGTTATCTCAACTCTCAAATAAACCACCAAATGCCAAAGTTCTTGCCACAGAATTTTGCTGCTGTTGCTGTTGCTGTTGTTGTTGTTGTTGCTGCTGATGCTGATGCTGGGCGCCAAATAATTTAGATTGATGCCCTGTTGCCGTTTGCAATGTTGTCATGTCTGGCGTTGTCTCAATCTCATTGCAAGATGGCACTCGAGCCAAGCACTTACTAAATAACAGTATCTATAACTGCATATAAACATGAAACCCAGCACAGCTATACACACGCACACCCACACACACACACACACACACACGCAGATACAATGTATTTGTATTTGCATTTGCTGCTTATGTCATCAAAATATTTGATATAAAACATCTGTATCTGCATATCCATCCAGCTACAATGTTGTTTGCTTTCCTATATACATATGTATGTATGTATATCAGTTACATAGAGTTCACTAAAGAAGGGTAGAGTAGAGAAGGGAATAACAGACTATAGCAGAGTACTGTAGACTAGTGGAAAGTTGTAGAGAGTGGTGTTTAGTGGTGTAGAGTAGTGTAGAGTAGTGTAGTATAGTGTAGAATAGTGTAGAAAAGTGTAGAATAGTGTAGAATAGTGTAGAGTAGTGTGGAATAGTGTAGAATAGTGTAGAGTAGTGTAGAATAATGTAGAATAGTGTAGAGTAGTGTAGAGTAGTGTAGAATAGTGTAGAGCAGTGTAGAAAAGTGTAGAGTTGTGTAGAGTAGTGTAGAGTAGTGTAGAGTTGTGTAGAGTAGTGTACAAGAGTTAAGACTTCAGTAAAGACTAAAGCAGAACTAAGAGTAGAATAGATCTAAAACTGGTATAGAGTTATAAATAGAGCAAAGTCAAGAGTAGACTTGAATTAACCCTAGAATTGAACTAAGACCAGAATATAATTAAAACTAGAGTAGAGCTGTGTAGCGTCGATTAATATGAGTGCGGTAGTGCAAGCAAGACAAGTTCAGAGAGGGAAATTCAAATTGAATTTCAACTAAGACAGCTTCATCTCTGTTGATTTTCCTTTCAAATGTTTCAATATCTATTCCTTCATGCTTATACAACACTATTTGTCTCTGTATATGTACTTAGTATTCCACTCGCTCTTTGTTTTATTTTGCTTTTACTTTTTTCGTTATAGGGCGCACCGAGTTCGAGACGGAGCAGCGACAAATTAAATATAATTAATATCAAAGTACACGCTCGTAATTACAAACTGCCCCAGCCAAGTGGCTGTCAGCCGTTGTTATCCTTTAAGTCCTCTTTAATGCTGTTGCCTCCTTTGATTTTTACAATTTCAATTAGCGCTAAGCGCGACGCCCACCAAATGACTTCACGTAGGCCCCAAGTGTGGCACTGCGAAGGGCTGCGGGCGTACCAGAGAAGGGGGACGGGGCACTGTGAACTGATTGTGGTTATTGCAAGGATTTACAGCCGCCTGATTATTACACAACATGCGAAAGTAAATTTCAGCGTTTGCCTCTCAAAATTTATGTTAATTTGGAGCTGGAGCTGGCTGCTCATATCGGATGGATGTCAGCGGCAGAGGCAGCGTCAATTGGTGGGCGTGGCTGGCGTTTCGGGCACCGCGCGCAGCTAATGCTCCTTTGTGCGCCCATTTAAGCCCATTGACAAACAAGCTCCATGCTAGATGTAATTGCCGTCAGACAGGCGAACTAATGAACTAATGCCATTGAGCTCACAGGCATGGAGTGGAGCATTCAGTTCGGCTTTAGCTACAGCTATATAACAATTATGAACTTCAATTCAAATGGCGCTGCTAGAATATATTCAAATTAAATTATATTTGGCTTGGAATAAGCGAACATTTAGCACAAAAGCTGGGAGGAAGAATAAAGGAGAATGGGCGAATGGATGGGACGAATGGATGTGGCAATGATTACAGACATTAACTATTATATTATGCTCAGTATTTCCTATCATATTACAGCTTGTTTCACATGTCTGACAAAATATACTAGACTTAGATTTTAGTTAAGCTTTGATACTAAAGTACATACATAATCAAATAAATAAATAAATGAAAAAAATAATATATAATAGATAAATAAAATAAAAAAATATAAAATATATTAAATAAATAAAATATATAAAATAAAAGAAAGTAAAAAATAATAAATAAAATAAATGAAGTAAATAAAAAACATATAGTAAATGCTTTTCTATTTTGATTTTTCTCTGTAATAACTTGGACAAAAGGATTGGATATTTTATAACTAGAATGGGTTGTTTATATAGACGAGGCTTGTAAGGTTTATTTCCGCATGAAGTAGGACGATTTTGAAAGTCTATTCTTTTGAGTCTTTTTTTTGCACCAGAGTTATTACAGCTTACAGCTGGCAATGACATATTATTTTTCATCATGTTTCGGATAAAATAATATGTTAACATTGTGTGAAGCGTTAAATCTTGGATATGTAGCACTAAGCTAACCGTTGATTCGTGTAAAGTAGTTGATCTGGTGTGGTGTGGTATATACTTTGATTAGATTTAAATATAATTTTTTATATATAACCCAATGAAGATCTAGATTTACATACTATCAAAGCTTCTCTAAATAATGAAATTGCTAGTTATGTGAGAGTTTCAATAGCACTTCAGTTTGGAATAGCAGCAGAATTATTATTGGGAAACAACTTTGTATGCATAAACAAAGCAAAGTGATACATATTAACAGTTATTATTCAATATACAAAACACGTAATGCTAAAAATAGTTTCCGATAAGTTTTTTAATTCCCACTCGAGCAATATTTTGCTAAAATTATTTAATCTGAATTTATGTATTAATATTCTACTGCTTTGCTCTTCCTCAATTTTGATCAGTGTCAATTATATTACGTCTCTCTCTCGCGCTCTCTCTCACTCTCCCAACCTCTTCTCCCCTCCTCTCAAACTCTTTATCTTATCTGACAATGCCACGCACTCTCACAACATATTCATGTTACTTTCTGTGCGATCGTCTCTCGGCCCCATGGGACAGTAAATTAGTTGAAAAATTTGTTTGTTGATCATTAACTAATTGTTGTTGCCGATAGCTGTGAGCAACAAAATACTTAGAAGAAAACAGAAAACAGAAAAAAAACCCAAAAACACGATTAACAAATGCGACAGAGCAGCGATAAATACGGATGCGAGCACGGACAGCACATGCCGGGCAATTGCCGTCGCCGGAACCGGAGCGCGAGCAGGTGCCGTAAACAATGACACAGTGTCGAGAAACGGCGACGTCAAACCGCCTGACACCGCTTGGCACTGTTGCACACATGCAGCAACAGCTGCGAGAGCAGCTCATCTCCTCGGAGCGTATCTGCCGACTGAGGCTGTGTGTGTGTGTGTGTGTGTGTGTGGCACATGTGTGCTTCGACTGATCGGCGGCAACATATGGCTGTTTACTGACGCCGCTGTTGCTGTTGTTGTTGTTGTTGTTGTTGTTGCTGTTGCTGCTGCTGCTGTTAATGACGCCAGCGAGCGAGCGAACGGGTTAGATAAACGACGATCGAAACGGCTGCGAATTGTCCACTACGTTCCATTTGCATGTATGACTCCGACTGGCTAATTATTCCCACAGGGATCCCAGTGCCTGTTGTGGCTCGCTTGATGCCAAGGCAAATCAGTGTGTGGCTACGCATATCGTCTATCAGTCAATGCTCGCACTCGAGCGTGTCCAGAGCGAAAGTTCGACCATTTCCCAATCACGATCTGTGCATAAATATTTGGACAGAGCCGGCGCTCGGCTCATTTGTTCCCATGGAGTTCTTTGCGACGGGCGCCTTTCAGCAGCTCTACAGCGAGCTGGATGAGCCGGCCATGCTTGGAGTCGATTGCTTCGATCAGGCGCTGTGCCAGCAGCAACCTCAATTGGACTGCTGCTATGCGGATGTGAATTTCGGCAATGGTTATGAGCCAGGAGGAGGCGGAGGAGGCGGCATGGATTACTATGGCATCATTACACTCGACGGCAACAACAACAACAGCAACAATTGCAACAGCAGCTGCAACAGCAGCGAGGACCAGGAGCTGCTCTTCGACTTTGGCGACGCAGAGCCCCACGTTGGCTCAGCATCAGCGCCGCCGGAGCTGAGCGAATGGGAGCAGCGGCTGCTAGATCACTTTGTGGAAATACCCGAGCTCATCGACATACTGCCCGAGCGCACGCCGCTCTGCACGGACATGTGCGATGACTTCCTGCAGGAGAGCAACAACAATCTGCGCCTCGCGGCGCCCATCTCTCCAGCAGCAGCGACAACAGCAGCCTCCGCCTCCGCCGTAGCAGCAGCAATGCCACTGCAGCTCAGCCACAATGCTGCCGGGGAGAAGGGTTACCTGTGCACCTTTGGCAGCTGCGAGAAACTGTACGCCAAGCCCGCCCACCTCAAGGCCCATTTGCGCCGGCATCTGGGCGAGAAGCCGTACGCCTGCAATTGGCCGGACTGCAGCTGGCGCTTCTCCCGCTCCGATGAGCTCGCCCGCCATCGTCGCTCCCACTCGGGCGTGAAGCCCTACAAGTGCGACTACTGCGCCAAGTGCTTCGCCCGCTCCGATCACCTGACCAAGCATCGCAAGGTCCACGAGCGCCGACTCCTGGCCGCCACGCGCTCCGGCAAGCTGCTGCCCAACGGCCCGCTGCCCCAGAGCGTTTACGCCGTGCGACCCGGCCGCAAGCGCAAGAATCAGCTGTGACAGAGAGCGAATTCCCGCAGACCCCACTCTTCATTTACTTTATCTTCTATGTTTTTATTGCACTTTTTTTTTCAGTCTGTAAGCAACTTGAAGTGTGAAAATAGAGGCTGTTAGTTAAATTCAATCGATCTGAGATTGACTTGTTTATCCGCATGTGAGATATTAAACTAAGTGATATGAGACTTCCCATTCAAAGAGTTTGTTTCAGAATGCCTTTTGCTAATATTTTGTATTTTTTACTGACATTAAACTTAATTAATCGTAAGATAATAATAATGGATGTTAATCATGGAATTTTGTTTGTTTCTTTATGATATGGATCACTGCAGCCAACAATTTCAAGTGACTTGATAAGATCATATTCCATTATGTGATAGTATCAAGAGATCTTCTTTAAACTCTCTTCGATGCAGAGCACATACTTCATTTAAGGTAGAGCGTTTTGGCAGTGTGGAAGAGTCTGTAATATTTTTCTGTTTGGGGCATGGCTCAGCGGCTAAAGTTTGATCAGGTTCAAGAGGTCAGTTGATCTGATATGTTCATCATATCTCTGTACTCTGTATGTTTGTATGCATAAATCATGGATGTATGTATGATGTATGCATGATATATGAATCATGGATGTATATATGTATGTTTGTATGTTTGTATGTATGTATGTATGTATGTATGTATGTATGTATGTATGTATGTATGTATGT